TTTGGACACATCATGCATAAAAGGAGTATAACTTTTCATTTTTCTGGTTGTACATGATGTAGAATCACACTGGTCATGTAATCACATATGCACACAGGGTATTAATATCTGATTCATTCTACTATTGTTCCTACCCCCATACTCCCTTTCTTCCCTTCACTCCCCTCTGTCTAATCCAAAGTACTTCTATTCCTCCCTAGCTGCTGTCCTTATTGTGAATTAGTATCTGCATATCAGAGAAAACATTCAGCTCTTGGATTTTTGGGATTGGATTATTTCACTTAGCATGATATACTCCAGCTCCATACATTTACCAGCAAATGCCATAATTGCATTCTTCTTATAAAGCTGAGAAATATTCCATTGTGTATATATACCACAGTTTCTTTATCCATTCATCTATTGAAAGGCACCTAGGTTGGTTTCATAGTTTAGCTATTGTGAGTTGAGCTGGGTAATAGGACTTTTAGAAGAGTTTTATTTAATATCTTGATGGAAATTTTTCTAAATTTGTTTTAAAAGTATATTTCAATATAAATATGCATACAGAAAGATACTCAAAATAGTTATTATAATGCAATTTAATTTAACTTACTCTATGCAATTTGGACCCAAAATTTGGTACATTAGTTAAGTTTTAAAAAAGGATTTCTGGTTTATTTTCATGTGTTATAAATATAATAAAGATCCTCCTTCAAAAGCTGTTAAAGCAGGCATCAAGATCCCTGTGCAATTTATTTTTGGTTTACTTCTGAATAATATACAAATTGCACTATAAAAGTTAAAAAGTTGGTGCCCAGTAAAACATTTTGAAGTGTTTCAGTGCCAGCGACCATATTGCATAGCAGGGAAAAAGCCCATGTGTAACATGAAACAACTGTGATAGCTATCCCATTTTGATTAATATTGTATGTAGCTTATAAATCTACACAGATCCAAACTAATATACTTTGAATCTAAATTCCAGTGGTAAGCTGGAGCTAGTTTACACTATCTTGTGACATTCAATTGTGTGTATTTTTTGCCAACTCCACTTTCATTAAGTTGGTAACTTGAAACTGGCCATGGTGGGAGAAATTAAACTATGGGAATCAGTAAATGCCACAAATCTGGGCTCTCTTGTACCCCACTCTCCACTCTAAAGCCAATCATTAAACATTTACCAGTATATTGTATCACTGGTTAACATAATAAGTTCATCCTCTGAGATCAACAGGGAAATTCAACAAAAGAATTTTCAATTCTGGTCATTATATAAAAAGATATATGTTTCATTCCTAAGTTTTTAGTACAGAACTAAAACTACAGTACAGGCAAGGAGTACTTTTCTTTTCTTTCTTTTTTTTTCAAGAGAGAGTGAGAGAGGAGAGAGAGAGAGAAAGAATTTTTAATATTTATTTTTTACTTCTCGGCAGACACAACATCTTTGTTAGTATGTGGTGCTGAGGATCGAACCCGGGACGCACGCATGCCAGGCGAGCGCGCTACCGCTTGAGTTACATCCCCAGCCCAAGGAGTATTTTTCTATATTCAGTTTGCATGAATGACAGTTTGACAGGTCAGAGTATGTGATCTGAAATTTGTAAGCACAAACTTTTCAAAGTTCAAGGGCAATGGGATTCTACACTTGATTTTAGAATTGTAGAGTAGAATTTAGATGTAGGGTATAATTTAGGTATTCCCTGGCCAATAACTATTTTAGCATAGTTATTGGGCTAGGGTTGTGGCTCAGTGGCAGAATGGGTCCTCCTTGGAAGACTAGAACATAAATCCATAGTAAAAAGAAACTTTATAAAAACCAAAATAAGGAAGGAGCTCCCCAATTAGAAGCAGATCCAACAAAGGAGGAAAAAAAGAACTTGAAATATATTGGAAAACAACATAAACACTGGTTCAAAGGAAGGACAGAGAAATACATTTTCACAAAACCACTGAATATTTGGCCTATATAACAACTAGTGTGTTGTTAACCCACAGGCAGTAGATTTTGAAGAACCAATGTTAACTTGCACCTTAATGAAGCTGAACACAAGTGGCCTTTCTATTTATTTCACTATTTCCCCTCTTCTTCAAATTGTTTCTTCTAACAATTAACACACACACACACACACACACACACATATATATATATATATATATATATATATATATATATATATATATATATATTTGTATGGGTATAAACTATGAGTCAACATCTTTTTTTCCTGTAAAGAGCCACATTATAAATAAATAAATAGATAGATAAATAAATACATAAATACTTTAGGCTTGGTAGATCATAAGGTCTCTGTCATAACTACTCAACTCTGTAATTGCAGTATGAAAGCAGTCATAGACAATACATAAATTAATAAGTTGTGGTTGCATGCCAATAAAACCTTACAAAAACAGACAGCCTACTTGATTTGGCATGCACAGTCTCTGGCTTGCTGACCCATTGTCTAGACTGCAAAGTGTGGGTGTATTGACACTGCTTGAGAAATGCTACTATAGAGAGCAATGTTTGGTGAACCAGGGATGAGGATGGGACTGTGTATCAGAATTACTAGTCATTGTATCTCATTTTTGCAGAATCTCTAATTCTAGACTGTTCAAAGATAGAATTTAGGTGTTCCCTGGCCAATAACTATTTTAGCATTATTAAAAGTACTACATATGGCCCATCTCCTGAACACATTACCAGAAATATCCCCTTCTCAAATCCTTCCCACATAATATTATAAAAGCATCACTGAAGAGCAGTTTTAATTGAGAAAATATGAAGGGCCACATGATGAAATCAATTTATTTCTAAGAAAACTATTAGCTATTAAATTTTAAACAGGAGAGGATGTAGTAGTAGCTCAGTGGTAGAGTGTTTGTCTAGCATGTGTGAGGCCCTGGGTTCAATCCTCAGCACCACATAAAAATAAATAAATAGAATTAAGGTATTGTGTTCATCTACAATTAAAAAATTTAAAAAGGAAGTAAAACTTGCCCTTTAGATAATATTGTTCAGTATATACATTAAGTCTCCCTATTATTTCATTTACAGGAACTGGGGGCACAGTGAAAAGAAGTTAAAAAGAGGAAACATACGTGAATATGCCACAGTGAATTTCACCATCATGTACACCCACAAGACACTAATTTAAAAAAATTACATAAATAGCAGAAAGATGGGTAGAGTAGAGGGAAGGGAACAGAAAGAGGGAGGAAGTGGGGGAAGGGGAAGTACTGGGGACTTATTTTGAACAAATTATATTCCATGCTTTCATAATTGTATCAAAATGAATTCTAATGTTATGTATAACTAAAAAGAACTAATACAAATGCAAAAGAGGAAATTAAAAATTGCAGTATTCTTAGAGTTCCAGTGATAAAGTTCCCCAAATGACAGGTGTAGCCACTAAGTGAAAGGCAATGTTTACCAGTGCACAGAGTGAAATCAACTACTTTTCATGACTAAATTTTCATTCATCACTTACATACAGTTACTATGAGTCTGCTAATATTCACTTACTTTTCATGAAGGAGAGCCTAGCACTTCTCTTTATACAGCCCTATATCTGAAGCAGTGATTCCTAAGGGGATGGCAACTGGGAGATGATTAAAATTATCTAGGGAGCTCACACTACCAAAAGTCTGACATTCCACCCAAGAGGTCATCTCTTGTTCTCCCAGAAACTGCCTCAGTAAGCTATTATTACAGATGGGAATGTGGTTTATCAGTGCACAGAGGAAGAAAAAAAAATGTTAGAAACTGCTGATGGTAAATAGCTGGATAAACAAATGCATGCATGAATGTGAGGCTATGTCAGTGATAAAAGACAGGATGCACACTCATACCCACTGCAGGCAGGAAAAACTGTAGTAACTTCATTAAATAATTCTGATGGATATATTAAATGGCTAGTTAATTTACTCTCATTTTTTTATTATTGCCACAAAATTTTAGTAAACAGGACTGACAACTTTTATAGCCTTCTGGGAAGGCAATTGGGTCATTATAGAAGCATCAATACTTTGGATCCAGTCACATATGCTCTGTTAAGGTAAGCTATTTACCATTCTTCCTTCCAACTCATTTTGATTTGTAAAGCTAAGTTCCCTGTTGACAGGGCATCTAGAAGGGGAAATGAGATACATATGTAAAAAAATTAATACAATGTAGAAGGTGACAAATTTCCCCAAATAAATGTAGAGTATCAGGGACATTCAAAGATGGAAGAGATAACATCAGGTTGAAGTACAGCATCAGGTAAACTCCATCCATTTCCAGACCTCTTACCTGTTTTCCCAGTCAGAAAAGCAGTTACTGGTACTTTGTGATAAATTAGACACTGAGTTTCAGTAGTTCTGTCATTTAAAAAGGTATCATTTATCCCTTTCAATGTGCGCTTTTGATAATTTCTTTTTAAATGTTTTTATTAGTGTATCATAGTTATGCATTTTATTGAGGTTCATTTTGACATAATTATATATGCATATAATATAATCTGCCCCATTTCAGTCCGCAGTACATCCTCCTTCTCCCTCCCTGATCCCCTTCCTCTCTTGCACTGTCTTCCTTATATATATTTATTGATAGTTTCTTAAATGTAACTTGGCTACATCTTGGACCCTAAGATCCTTCTGTTGGAGTGTCATCCCCATCAGACAGTGTAAGTCAGTTTGGGGAAAAGACGATATTCTGTCTTGCTCCACTGAACCATGGGTTCTCTGAGTTGTTTCCATTCGTTTAGATCTGATACTGAATCTCTATGGTGAGGATGATTTAGGACTTTCAAAAAACTTAAGAAGAATTTGTGTTCCTCAGCAGGCATTTGGGCAGCAGGTGAGCAAGTGAGATAGATACACACTTCAAGCACGGTGCATAGCTACACACACACACACACACACACACACACACACACACACACACAGCTGACTTGGCAGCTGTGAAGTTGGAGGTGGGGAACTCAGTACCTGCTAAGCTAGTTTCTACTTCAAGTGCCTGCGTGTCTGAGGCTGTTTGAAGCCTCCAGCGTGGTTAGAGTTAATTCCCATTAGGTTGGACTCCGCCCCTCTCTCCCAAAGGTAAAGCAAGGTTTTCAGGCATCACTGCAAAGAGCAGCTGGGATTCCCATCCCTGTATGACAAGCTGTGAAGAGAAGTTGTTGCTCAGATCTGAACCCGAAGAGAGGGAACAAGTCAGTCAGTCTTCATGGTCAGAAGGTAAATATGCAACTTGGGCCAAATGCAATTGAAACAGCTGGATAAGAAACTGCTTTGCTCTCCCCTTGCTCAGCCCTCCTTCCCTCCTTCCTTCTTCAGGCTTCCTGTCCTTTCATCTCAAAGCTCAGAGAAGCTGTTTTCCTCCCAAGGGCAGCCTGGTGTATTTTTACTTCCTCATAGTCTGTTGTTTGCACAGAGGCTAAAAGGAACCAGAGCTGGAATCTTATTTCATATTGACAAGCATTGAGGACCTAAGGGTTAAATGCTAGCTGGTTTCCCCAGGGGAGTTGGTAACCTGAGGAGAGGAAGCTCATGTCTCTGGGAGTGGAGGAAGGGATTTTGTTCCGACTTGTCTATGAGAGTCAAAATGGATCCAGTTTCCCCTGATGTGGTAGGTTGTGGTAGGTTGATCTCTTAGACGTGTTTAATTGGGGTTATGGGACTGAAATGGGGTGATGAGGCTAAACTGAAATGCAAATGTACAGGCCAGTAGGGCTGGAAATAGAAGATAGTATTCATTTAGTAAATATTTAGCAGTTCCTACTATGTGCTGAGCATGATAATTTCCAGATGAACCTGAAGCAGTTTAACTATAAATCTATTCCTGCAAATAGTATCAGCCAAATGGTGGAAAACTAAAAGCAGAAAGAACGTAGGAATGAGGAAAAAAAACACTGATAATGTGAGTGGTCATGCAGTGAGAGTCTAAGAGGAGTGATGTTCCCCTCTTGGGTGACTTCAAGTCTTCTCTATTACTTATGAGAGAATGGGGTCTTGTCTGGTAACAAGGGAGAGAATTGATATGTACCATGGTGTTAGGTACACCACAGACATTATTTCATTTGAACTTATGCCTCATCATCTCCATTTTATAGATGAAACTGAAACTCAGGTTTTAATTCATCCACCTCAAGTTCACATCACCTGTAAGGGGCAGAACTCAGGACCTGATCTTATATCTAATTACAAAAAATCTAGACTCTTTTCCATTAAAACAGTATTCCTCAATTAAAAGTTGCCATAAGAATCAAGTGAGTATTTTACAAAATGCAAACTCCTATAAGTTCAAATTCAGTGAATCTGGGAGGCATGGGTCATAGGGTGATTCTGATGGAGGGAGTTAGAGCCCCCACTTCGAGAAGCACTCTTTTGTTTTTCATTTATTATTTTTATTTGTTCTTTTTAGGTATACATGACAGTAGAGTGTATTTTGACATATTATACATACATGGAGTATAACTTATCCTAATTAAGATCCCATTCTTGTGGTTGTACATGATATGGAGTTTCACTGGTGGTATGTTCATACATGAACATAGGACTGCCACCTTCCAACTCCTCTGAAGTGGTTAGAGAAGCATTCAGTGCACCTTCTTCCCACACTGGCCAGATCTACTCAACGGAGATAGTCAGCTCTTGATGGTATTTTATTTCCAGCTGAGGCCACAGGGGTAAATGAACTATTGAGGAATAATAGCAGGACGAGAGCTATTAGCCTAAGGGCATTGGTCATGCTTTACTAGTTAGTGCATTGTTTTTTTAAAATACATTTTTTTTAGTTGTAGATGGACAGAATACATTTATTTATTTATTTATTTGGTGCTGAGGATTGAACCCAGTGCCTCACATGTGCTATGCAAGTGCACCACCACTAAGTTACAATCCCAGCCTAGTGTGTTGTTGATAGGGCTTCACCATGTCTTGCCAGAGCAGCTGGTAGAGGGACTTTCTAACCAGCTGAGTTTCTGATGTTGGACTCTGAGCCAACCAACTTATCATGAAGGTAGGGACACAGGTAGACTGTCCACCCAGAGTAAAAACTGAGCTGAAGATCTCTAGGTGGCAAAGCAAAGGCAAATGGGAGTTTAATGAGCAGCATTTTGAAGAAAGGGAGAAGATCATGTGAAAATTTGGGAAATCATTCCTGCTCCCACTTTCCAACCTCAAACTCTAAAGAAAGAGAGTAGCCTTGAACCTGATGCAGAGGCTCATTTTATTAGCACTTTTTATATCCTTCTGGATTTTTGATTGCTTATTTGCTCCCCTCTCTCCATGTACTCTCTGCCTTCCTGCCTTTTATTTTTATTTTTTTTTAGAGGAGAGAGAGAG